AGATTTGTTCGTAGAACATAGTCAAAGCGTTAGAAAAATTATCCAAGGAAAGGAATGTTAAATTAATTTATTTAATATACAATAATGAACGTTTGAATTTTATTATACTCGATATGAATATATTATATACGTAAACAAATAAAATATCATGTATCATTAATCAATGATTTCATGATAAATAAATCGAATAATTTTTAATGTGAAACGTGCAAACATGGAGCAAGAGAGCAATAAAAAAATATATATATATATATGAGGATTTATTTAATATACACGCGTTGCGTCAATAAACGGTGAGTAATTAATTGATAATAATTATAATTAGGAGAAACTTTTCCTTGATGAAAGAGGAAGGGTCGCAATTTTCATTTGAGATTCCTGACCTCGCGGATTATAACGTTAGCCACTTAACCACATTGGAACTCGACTCGCGATCACTACTACCGGTTGCGTTTTCTCGATTTCTGGATTCCAGAGCCCGTCGTCGGTAGTGTGATGGCGGCGGTACAACGTTTATTCTTCTTACCTACCTATTCCGACACGAAAGTAATTACGAAATCAAGCTCAGTGACATAAGCCAGTCGATCTGTCTTTTATCCTCCTCTTGTTTTTATTACGCATTGTATTTACTCGCTGTGAGAATGAACCTCTACAATACTATAGAAAAATCTAACTAAGTTTTATCAATGTTTTGTAATCTATGACTATTGATCGAACTAGAATCAAAGAATAAAAAGTCATTACTTCTTCTTAAATTGACTTTCATCGATATTTAGATTAGAAATCGAGATTATGAATTTTTTCGATTGCTTTTAGATCAAAGAAATGATCTATTATGTTGTTTTATTCGATCACGAGTATCGTTAAGAAGACAGGCGAATTTCAAAATTATGGGGCTAGTCCTAAAGATTTATGCGAATGAGATCGATAGAATGATTCTTCTCGATTCTCTCTCTAAAGTTATTTGATTCCTTTAATATAGTTTTATTCTACGTTGCGACTTCTTCTTCTTCTTCTTCTTTTTCTTCTTCTTCGAAAGGGAGATAGAAAGAGAGAGAGAGAGAGAGAGAGAGAGAGAGAGAGAGAGAGAGAGAGAGAGAGAGAGAGAGAGAGAGAGAAAGAGAGATGAAGAAAGAATATCTTACTCGTCGACGAGGGAACGTCGGTGAATTAGCTTTCTCGTATTTAGAAGCAGGAAGAAGTCTCGGTGAGATTATCGCATAGTCGTTCTCTTTGCATCAAGTGTTTCCGTATACTCACGCCTTCTTTTACGTACTGAAAATATCTCGATGCGAATAATAGAAAATTATTCTCGCGAAGCTTCACGTTTTCAATTCGCGTATTTTTAATATTCTACTTTTTATTTATTTATTTATTTATTTATTTTTTTTTTTTTTGTAAACACGCGAATTGAAAGAAAAAAAGGAAGAAACAGGAAAATCACATACATTCATAAAACTCGAAATATAAATCGAATATTAAACTAAAGTATAGTTAAGTAAGCAATAGAAGTTATAGTTATTGCAAACGTAATACTCATAAAGAGCGAAGGTAAAATGCCTCTGAGCGATTTCTTTATGTCGATAATACAAGAATCATTATGAGATTTACGAATATCGAAAGGAATATTAGTTAAGGATAAACCCTTGTAAATCGTACGTCTTATTTGATTTGAAAATAATTTCGATTCATCTCATCGTGTCTTTTTTCTGAATATTATCGTTGACGTTCTTCTCGTTTTCGAAGATGACGAGAATGAAACGCGGTCATGGTCGATAGAATAATCGTCCACCTTATGAAGAAAAGTCATGCATGTCATCGACGCACCGTGACCCTCTTTCTCTCTCTCTCTCTCTCTCTCTTTCTTTTTATGTTCGCTTACGTCAACCAACGCCTTCGATAGTTCGATGAAATTCAGTATTTATGATTGAAACGTATGTATCTACGTATGCACGTACGTACTTATTCTCATTTCCTTTCTCGCAATCACGAAAATAATATCCTTTGGTTACGATTATTGAATGACCTTCCGACTAGATCGATGAGTCAGAATAAAATCTTGACGAATCCATCGTAAACTTTTCTATTCGTAAGTCTATCTTTCTCACGGTAGATATATCCTTATAAATCGTTAGAAATCTCAAGGAGATGTTTAACAATGATCGATCCACACTTACGTGCCGAAGATCATCGGGATTCGTATACGATACAAACACAAACAACTAGTGAATATCTAATTATTATTCCTCAAAGTATAGACGATAGAAAGATATATAGAAATATCTATGCGGACATACTACGCACACAACGATAATATCGAAGAAAGATATGCTATCCATAGTCGTGCAATCATCCACAAAGTATAATCCTCGACGTGAAAAGAGGGCGAACAAAGAGCCTGGCATTTGAATGCCAACGATTGCTAAGTTCTTGCACGAGTTCAACATTGCTGTTGCTAGCAACGAGACTTCGTGATCCTGAAACGAACGAAATCTCTCGATCTTAGATCTCTTTCATCGTTTACGCCCTACTTCGAGAAATGATTGAATACAAAATCTTGCAATTTTTTAAATTAAGATATTAAATATTACGATGATAGGATTTTGAATAAATCCGACTTCCTTTAAAATAAATATATATATATATATATATATATATATATATATATAAATTTTAAAGACTATTTAAAATTGTTAGACGATGAGTGTTAATAAGCGTGGAAAATAATTAATGACGTAAAAATGATTCGAGGCTTGATTCATAAAATTACTATATATATATATATATATATATATATATATATATATACTATCTTGAATTATTAATGACGATCGACGATCTATCCGATGATAATCATTGTGATCTACGATATAAACGTGATCTTTGAAAGCTTACGCACGAGAAGAGATGCAACATGTATTAGTGTATTTAGAAAATTAAAATATCTCAAATGATATATAACGAAGAAAAGATAATTCTATGTTATATGATATTATTAACGTTGAATTGAAATATTTAACAATTCGTAAATAATACAAGAGAATTTATATAGACTTACATAAATATTTTCTAATACTCAAAGACACCGAAAGATCATTTATTGTTGTCTATTCTATCCTACGTTGTGACTCGAAACGCTCAACATGCAAATAGCTATATAATACGCTATCTCTTTTAATGAGTCGCATTAATTCGTTCTCTCTAGCGGCTTGGTAATACCTTAGCAAGCGGTTTTTTTTTTTTAACTCGTTTAATGAGCAGTTAGCGCCATGAAATTATAGCAACAGAGCTCAGACCAGGAAGCGCGATCCGTAGATTATCCCACCGCTTACGATCTTAACCAAATTATAAGACAAAAAGCGCGGTAAGTGTTACGATGTAAAAATACGTTTTACGCCGTCCTGTCCTCTTTTCATTTTCAGCTAGATACTCGGTGAACACCTTGCTTTTAGAAATTTATTATGGTTTTTACATTCCAACGACGAATGTAATTGCGACAAATATATAAAAAAAAAAAGAAAAAGAAAAAACAAAAAAGAAAAAAAAAAGAGAGAGAGAAACATAAAAGATTAAAAAAAGAAAAAGAAAAAAGAATATCACCGAAAGTAAACATTCGCCGACGTATAAGAAAGTAAAAGAAATTTAATAGCTATCTGCCGTTTCGGGGGAAAAAAAAAAAAGAAAAAAAAATTACTATTTTTTTTGTTCGATTTTATTACTACCATTATTACCATGAAAATGGATATGGAAATGTTGAACGAATTAATGGGAATATTTATAATGTTGCAATTTCTATGATAATCAATGATAATCATTGAAGGATAAAAGAAATAGATAAATAATATATAGATTGTGAAATTTGTAGAAAAAGTTAAAACGTATCAATAACTCGACGTATCGTTTTGTACGTATTGAATGTATTGATATTTATGCGTTTATTCGTTTATGTGCATGTTTATTCGTATCTGTGTATATATATATATATATATATATATATATATATATATATATATATGTACGTATTCATATATACACGCTTTTACCGGGATGTCTATTGCCATTATCGTTTATCTCGTCTTTTATACTTTCACGTGGTAGGAAGGAATGTCGATTGTAATCGGTCTACAAATGTGTTCTTACGGAAACTAATACTATTGCGAGGAGTAGGACGATGCGTACGATATTTTAACTCGCTTGACCACTCAGCTTTGCCTGCAATTATCATCAATTTAATTAGTTTCCTTTCTATAAGATTAATTAGTTTAATCGGCTAGTTGAATCTCAAAGGCGAGAAGAAAAAAATAAAAAAAAAAAAAAAAAAAGAAAAAGAAAAAAGAATTTTACATTTCCTCGAATCTGATCTTCCTCCTCGATCTCAAGTCAATGTTTCGAGATATCTCTCGAGATTACGAAATCACGTCTGGAAAAAAAAAACAAAAAAAAAAGAAAGATTTCCGCAAACTTTCGACTATGGCAACATTGATGGTGATATTAAAAACATCATTTCTGAATATCCATAAGGTTTCGATAAGATAATAGTTAATTAAATGCGTGGGCAAAAAGCAAAAAAATAATATATGCGATATGATACATTGGTAATATTGATTTTATTGGTAAATTCGTCGGTGCAAATATTACGTATGAATGAGTTACATCTGAAATTATCAATTCAAGTATCAATTAATATGCGAGAACGATCGACGAAGTTGCAAAATTTATATATCGTTATTCGTAAATAATGGGAGAGATTTAATATATAAAGTAAAATCAGAAATTTCTTTTTCGTTCTATAATTATTTATACAGACAGATGTTTGTTTATCGTAACTAATAAAACGATGATAATCATTGACCGAAAACAAATGATAAAATTAATTCAATCGTCATATTCTATCACGAAATTCATAAATGAAATTGTCGTTGATTTGTTCATTGAATTTCATTATCTCTTTCACTTTAAAACATCTAAATGGGGATTCTCTTTTATTTTTATTCTCTTACCTTATAATCATTAGAAATATCCACGGGTTTCTTCTTAGACAGATATTTATCCGTGAACGTATATATTTGAAAAGTATTATCCACGTCTTATGTTTTAAAAACCGCTAAGATGGAGAAGTTACGAGTTCTGGATTGTAAGAGAGTAACCACAGTTATTACCACTACTTATAGTTATCGGACAGAGAAATCACCGTATCATACGCATCTGTGGATGATTATAATTTTGTTGGATGAGCACGTGGGAAAATGACGAGCGTCATAAATACCGCATTCTTGGCACGAAAACACATTTATTATTTCATAGTGTGCGTAGCGGAGATTAGCATTAAGATTCTTCATCGCCTGGTTCTAATGATATCGACCTGTCCAATCATCACAATTTCTTGAATTATTTAACATTTATTTACTATACTCTAATGTATTCTACTGGCGTGTAAAATGTGATAAATATTGAAAAAATTTTAATTTAATATTTCCATATATGTAAATTTCAATGTAGGACTCGTTGTTCGTGCGTTAAATTAACAAAAATGAAATCTCCATTGATTGTCATCGAAATGGTTATTTATCTTTTGTATTCCAATGAGTAAAGATGAAGAAATTCTTACTTTTTATAGTTCACAATTAAATAATCAATAGTTTCGTTTATTGTGCATTAATATAAATAATTTAAAATTTATAATAATAAATTAAAATTAGAATGATAATACATTTGTTTAAACATTACTAGTAATTAATATAAAATAAAATTCCATATTTAATATAAAATTTCAATTCTTAAAAATTTTAATCTCGGAATAATGGATCTTGTGTAATATAAAATATTTTCGGTCTTTTAATTAAATTTCTTTTTAAATTAAATTAAATTAAATTAAATTAAATATATATATATATATATATATATATATATATATATATATATATATATATATATAATAAACATAAACAAAGAGGAACAAACAGAAACAGATAGAATCGACAAGATAAAATATAGGGTCATCAGCTCGTGTCAATTTGGCTCTGGATTAAGTCTATAATTGCATTAGAGATTTTATTCGAAGTTACGTCTGAGTTTTTATTTAAGTTGTATCATTTTTATCCTGTTCTGTCCGAACTGATCCTTTATTATTCTATTTTACCGACCTGTCCGATTGATTCTCATTTTACCGACCCAAGTAATTCAGTCGGTAATAATAGATATTCTCTTTTATCGAACGGAATGAATTTATCGGCTATCGATAATAATGTAACATAACTTATCGACGGTGGTAATAAAGCTAGAATTACCGACGATAAAATGAATGAACAAAATTTGGAGAATTATTCAATGCATTTTGTATATTAATGAAGATTATAATTTTCTAATCGGTAATAATAGATTCTTGGTATGGAACGATTTGGTTTATTCAATGGCTTGCAAGTAAAATTATCGATTGACGGCTGTTGATAAAACAGATGACTCCATACTAATCATTATCAATGAAATGCTTACCAAGGACGAATAAATTTTTATAAAACCTGATAGTATATTATCTATAGTTAAAGGAAAGTTTAATTCTATTATTGTAGATATCATTAAAATTTTTCTTTTATTCCGCTACACCATTAAGCGACGTAAGATGATATAAAAAGAATAATATTAATATTACAATTTTAAATTATACAATTTATCTTTTTATCTATTTGAATCTTAATTTATTCTATTAATTTGTATTATTGCAATTATTTCTCAATATATCTTACCAGACAACGTATCAATTTGTTATTAAAAACGAAGTGGTTAATTGCAATCCTTAAACACCATAATAGAATAAAATGATTATCTACTGTCCCGAACGATCAGTTTAAAAAGATACGAAGTTTAATTACGTTGTAATCTTCTCGACGTGCTCCCTTTACAAACCTTCTCTCTTTCTCTCTCTCTCTCTCTCTCTCTCTCTCTCTCTCTCTCTCTCTCTTTCTTTCTTTCTCTCTCTTAATCACCTATTTTTTATCTTAAGACATAAATCATTACTCCCTTTCGAATTGACCGACAACGAAGGCGAGTAAAATTCGATCGGCAATTAGGCGGAAAATTAAGCGTGAAATGACCGACTAATAAGGAAAGAAGATACTGTACCAGGTCGACTAAGTGAACCCAATTAAAAGTACAAGATATTTCGTATCTTCTTAATCGATGACTTAAAGTGCCAAAAAATCATAATCTATATAATGCGATCGTGTTCTGTTTGCCGACGAGAGAAAAAAAATAGAGAGAAAAGATCAGCTCAAACGCGAATATAAAAAATACGAAAATATTACAGGAGAAGAAGGTAGTTCGTAAATATTTCACATAGTATCGGCAAAAAAAAAAAAAAGGAAAGAAAAGAAAAGAAAAGAAAAAAAGAAAAAGAACGGGGAAAGAGAAGAATTATAGAATAATAATGGAGAAAGCTGGTCCGTCCAATAAACACGCGATGTAAATGTATCCAGAATACGACAGCCGTAAGAGACAAGTTAGCGAGTGGTCCAGGATCAGCGCTAATTTGGTTTTACGTTACAGAGTGATTATACGTAGCCCTGGCACGTAACGCAATACGGATTATGAGCGGTTCCTTAATCCGAAACAAAGCACGTTAGGTCCTCTTTTCGAGTCTTCTTTCTCTCTCTCTCTCTCTCTCTCTCTCTCTCTCTCTCTCTCTCTCTTTCTCTTACACACACCCACATATGTACATGTGTCTGTAGAGTAGGGACCGCACGCATCGTTCTCTCTTCTCTTTTCTACAAGCGAACGAACTTCTCTAGATCGAGAGAGGAATAAAGAGCCTTCCTTTTCTCCCTTCTTACTCCATCCTTCTACATCTTTAACTCCCTCCCCCACCCACCGACCCATCCTACTTCTGTTTTCAAATGAGAGTAGAAGAGGATAGCCGTTGCACGTTGGATCTTGCCGATGTATAATTATATAAGAGATTTTTTGGGGTCGAGTAGGACCTCCGGCTGTTTATCGATTCTCGGAGGAAGTGTCAGGACTCTTTTCGAGGTTCCAGCTATTATCTTGACCCTCCGTGGGTGGCGTAAGATCATTCTAGGCAGCTGCGATCTATCGATTCTTAAATCGGTGCAGAAATTTCGATACTTGTAATATTTCTCACGTATGTAACGTTCTAACTTGAAGGAGAAATTCAACAACTTCATTCAAAGTTCAAGTATCTACTACATGTATATGTATTTACATAAATATATATATATATATATATATATTACATATGTGTATGTAGTCGTACAATCGCATATTTGACGGTCACGACGTAATTGATTATCTTTCATAGAGCTTCTCATAGAGATCGTTCTTATATGATATTTCTTCAAGAATATTTATTATCAACGCATAAAATACTTAATATTGTGTTGCACGATAATAATTTATTTTAAGCATCATCGATAATACGAACATTTCGTGTAATATCATAAATTTTTTATCGAATCTATTGGATTTTCATTCAATTGTGTCTAATATTAATGAAAATAAGATAAGGACATAATTTTATATTTACTTGATATTGAAATGATATTTATACTATTGGCTCTGCTATGTTTTGCTCTAAAATTAACTCTCTAAACAAAACAGAAAACATGACATATAAAAAAAAACAAAGTCGGAACAATCACATTGTTGTACGACAATCTACGATAGACATTCGTCTAAATATTTTACGATACAATTCAATATCTTTTCGTTCAAGAATTATCACGAGATATCGATATGTTACTAACGTTATCTATATGATTTATCTATTGATTTTTTAACTCATTTTATCTCTCTCTCTCTCTCTCTCTCTCCTCACTCTCATTCTCTCGACGAATTTATATATTTCATGATTTTATCGATAATAAAAAAAGAACAAAAATACTGATAAACAAATCGGGTCAATGTCGAATATGTTGGTAATAGTAGATTCCTACTTTACTTACCAAGTAAAATAACGATAATAGTTATTTTCTAATTTACCGATCAAGTAGAAATGACGATAATAATAGAGCGTGATTTTATCGATCGAGTACAAATATTCGTAATTGTAGAACGCTGTTTTGTCGACTGAGAAAGAATGCCGGTAATAGTAGAGCGCGATTATATCAACCAAATAAAAATTACCAATATTACATTTATTATCATTTTCATTATTACTATTATTGTTATTATTATTATTATTACCGTCGTATGACTGTATCTTGAGTGGGCCGATGGTCCAATTTATACTTTTTTTTCCATAGCCACTTTTATAGTAACCTACGGGAGATACATTTCATGAAGTCACAATGAAATACATATTTCCGTTTTTTTGGAACAATTTATCCAAAATTGCCGAAGATAGCCAAATATTCCAGGCAACAGCTTAAGTCGATACCAATCCGATCCAATTCGATTCGAGTAAATTCAATCCTGTTCGATTCTATTCAATCTTATTTAAATCTATCCGATCTTATTTTGTTCTATTCGAATCTCTTACTGAAGTTCTTTGATAATATCAAATTATTCATCCTTTTCGTAAGAATCTAAAATTGTTATTAATTTATATAATTAACAGATGAATAGTAAAATATTATTATTTTACATAATTTAAAATGTAAATTGAAATCTTTTAACTTTATCAAATAAACATTTTTTAATTTATTTTATACATATTTTCACAAAAGCTTCACATACGATATATAAAGAGAAAGGGCCAAATTTTTTTCTTAACTCATTAGTTGAAAGAAAAATTAGAGAAATTAAAAACTGAAAAACTTGCGTGAACTTGCTTCATTTTTCCTCTATATATAATATATATATATATATATATATATATATATATATATATATATATATATATACACGTAAATCTTAACTTTTCATCTCTTTGGAAAGACGAACGAGAATGATACCGAACTAGAATCCATTTGATTAAGGTGTTGTTGTGCCGAATTTGGTAACGTTTCTTCGACTTTAATATATCTAATATATTATCTGACATATCATCTTTTCTCTGAAAAGATCCGTTACGTTCGATCATGAGAGAGGAACTGATATCTGAATTTTCTTTTGGCAAAGATCGAAGTGTTTCGCGATAAAAGACATCGTGAGAGAGAAGCGTGGGAGAATAATGCGTTCGATATACATATACATATATATATATATATATATATATATATATATATACATATTTGTATATATATGTATATATCGATTGAATTCGTGGGTATCGATAAAACGAAAGAGATTTCTCTCTTTTCTTTTGAAGAAGATCGTGGCTTCGATAGGGTCTCT